TGTGAAGTGGTACTTTGCTAAGTCAAAAAGTAAATTAGTCGATTTGAAAAGGAGATTCAGACAGAGATATGACAGAGATATTTATTTCCATTATGATGAAGCAATGAAGTGTCTTGCTGCTGTTGCATCTTTTGCTTCTATTAAGGAAAAACATTCCAATATTGCTTTCTAGATAGTGTTTGCCGGTTTTCTTCAAACGATTAATTCTTCAGCACACGCTTTCCACAGAAATAAAAGCATTTAAGAAATAGCATGAAGCAGCTTCTAACGATTTCTGAATGTTCTGCAAAATATTAGGAGTAAAACTTAGAGTAACGTACGTATTAGCGTAGTATGAGCGCAAGTGAACGTGAACATCACGAGTGAGCCAAAAAACATTCTTACTAGATGATAAAGCGCTTTAATGGATTGCTTTCTCAGAAAAAATGGCGATTATAACATTTTGCCTACACTTACTCATAGCAACGAACGACAGCAATAATATGACAAGACCTCCTAAAAAGTGCGTGCTGCCAAAAGAAGTACATTTTTCTATCAGTAAACAAATGACAGCTGCTTAGGTATAAATTTTTCGAGATTACGTCTACAACAATCGACTACTAACGAACCGTTCATATGCGCATCTTCCTTCTTGCAGGTAGTACCAAATTTTCTACATTAAGCTCAAAATAATTATGAACTTCAGGTTTAATAGGATTAGCGCTAGGATCGGGCAGCCTGTTAGATTCTCTGCGTTATAACCCTAACTTCAATGACCAGATATTCTTATGGAGAAGTTTACGTCCGAAGCCAAAATGGAATACCACCACAACCATAAAGCTAACGACAAGGGAACAGCCAACAACATCAGTAGACGCAACTATACGTAAGTGACATCGCAACTGTAGCCTAAAGAACCTACAATTACGAAGGATTTAGAACTTACTACTGTAAAGTCTGAAGAGCGCACAACATTGGAGCCTGAAGAAGGTACAACCATAGAGCATAAGGAATCTACGACCATGGAGCCTGAAGAGCCACTAACCAGGGAACCTGAAGAGCCACCAACCAAAGAACCTGAACAACCAGCAACCAAAGAAGCTGAAGAGCCCACTACCATGGAGCCTGAAGAGATCACAACCGTGCAGCCTGAAGAGCCCACAACCATGGAACCTGAAGAATATACAACCATGCGACCTGAAGAGTCCACAACCGTGCAGCCTGAAGAACCCACATCCATAGAGCCTGAAGAGTTCACAACCGTGCAGTCTAAAAAGCCCACAGCCATGGAACCGGAACAGCGCACAACTATGGAGCCTGAAGAGTTCACAACCATGAAACCTAAACAGCGCACAACTATGGAGCC